CACCCCAAAAGGGGTAAAAACATGTTCTTTTTGTCTGTAAAAATAAATAAATAAATAAATAAAAATAAAAAAAAAATGCTGGTACCAGCTAAAAAGCAACCCAAAATACCATAAATTTACTGTTGCAACAAAAATTGTTTTGTGTTTTGTATTTTGTCTTGTGTTGTTTGTCTTGTTACTAGTATTGTTATATATTATGTTACAAAAAAAATACTGCATTAAGTAAAAAAAATAAGCATTTTAACTGTATTTACAAAAAATACTGCAAAAAAAGCAAAATTAAAAAAACGCCAGTCTATTAACAAAAAAATCCTTAAATGTGTTGTATGTGCTATTAAACAAAAAAAGTTTTTAAAATTACAACCACAAGCTCAAATTGCCTCTCAGTATATTGTTATAAAACAGTTATATAAAATATAACCCACTCAAAAATTGTTCTTAAATTAAAAAAAAATGTAGTAATCAGGATCTCTCCAAAGGGACTGATTACAGGCTGCAGCATAGACTAGACCCTGTGAATCTATCACACCCTGCCCCAGGGCATTGAGAAGCCACTCAGACTCCGGCCTCCCAGCTGCCTCCTACAGAGCATCAGAGGATGAGAGTAGAATAGAAAAATCCAGTGCCTAGCTTCCATTCTCCCCACATCAATGAGGTCCAATGCCCTGATCCTAATTCTGATTTGCTAAATCCCAGGATAAATCCAGGGTAACGCCAATAAAAGTAAACCAATGGGGTCATTCCAAATTTACATCAGTGTAACTGAGATTAGGGTCAGACTCATACAAAGGTGCTTAGAATCCTTTATTTAGTAATGTCTCCCTGTGTTGTTTATTGCCATATCTTAGATTTTAAAAGAGTTTTTTGTTCATCTTCTCTCAAGTGTTTTTCTTCCTTGGACTGTTCTGGTTTCTACCACCAGCAAGCGCCCAGAGGACAAACAGAATTGGTAAGTTCTCCGATTAGTGAAACATAATGCCTTGTGTAAAGTTTTTGTGCCCATAATAAGTGAGTCTCATATAGAGTGTCTGCAATGAATGCCCAAAGGGGTGGGTACACCTCAGGTTCTAAACAGGCCCTGAAGGGAAAACCCAGAATTTTGAGAAGAGGAAAGATTGGGTGTCAGGGATAATTCCTCCTTCTCTGTGTTTGTTTATTCATTCACTCCCTCTTTCTCCCTCTGTCACTCCTTAGGGTATTCTAGTTTTAGTCTGCTCACACTCTGTCCCATGGTAGACAAGAACCTCTTTCTGCTGCCATGTCCCACTGAGAGGTCTTTTAATAGTGTTACTAGGCAATACTGAAAAGCCAGAGGTGGACCCAGAAAGCGGTAGCTGGAGACTTCATACACTGGACTGCAGTACCTGGAGGTCTGTCCGGGAGGAGCGAGGGAGAATGAAGTAGCAGTAACTCTGGGTCTGTCCTTTTGGCACCTTCCCCTTTAAGAAACTGTTAGTATTACAGAATTGCAAATGAAAACTGAGATCACGATCAATTTCATGTAGAAACTAGAAGCACTGGGAAATACTACTGTTGCCTGCCCAGAACTGGGCCCCGAGATGGCAAACAGGGGTTCGTTGCCCGGTGTGCTTGGCACCAATAAAGACACCGAGGGGAGAAAGCAAGCCAAGTTTATTTCAGAGCTCTGAAATGGCACTAGGAGACCAGCATGTCTCAAATCAAGTGCAGCACATACAAATAAAATTTTCCCTTTTTATAATCCAAGTTGTTTCTGTGTAAGCCTTTGTCTGTTACTCCCTCTTACCCCTCCCACCCCTCCCTTCTGTAGCAGTTACAATTAGAAAAGTTCCCATTCGTCTGCTTATCTTTTGGCCTTGCAAGGCCTGTTTACAGCAGCTGCCTGCTAGAAAAGCTGACCCTTACATTTCTGCTTCAGTATGTAAGCCGTTAGCACAGAAGTAGGTGAAAGTTCTCAAGATGGAGTCACTGTGGTTCAGGTAGGCCCAGAGCAGAAGAGCTTCATCGGCACTTTTGGCCTTCCACTCTCCCGAGTTACCTGGTAGCTATGCCTAGTGGACCTCACCACTATCAATGGATCTAAATCCCGAGAGGCACTGAGGACCAGCAGCCAGGGCTGGCCCTAGACCAAATGGCGCATGCCCACCGCTCCATTTGTTAAAATTTTAAATATCTTATTTTTTATTGCATTTCTAGCCCATTTCATGACTTTGATGCATGATTTATCCCTGTCTCATAAAACTAACTGGTGATACTAGGGTTGCCAGGCGCCCGCTTTTCAACCGGAACGCCAAGTCGAAAAGGGACCCTGGTGGCTCCAGACAGCATTGCTGACAGGGCCATTAAAAGTCTGGTCACCGGCGCAGTGGGGCTAAGACAGGCTCCCTGCCTGCCCTGGCTCTGTGCAGCTCCCCAGAAGCAGCCAGCATGTCCGGCTCCTATGCGCAGCAGCGATCAGCGAAGCTCCGAGTGCTGCCGCCACTCCCAACATCATCGCCACAGCTCCCATTGGCTGAGGACTATGGCCGATGGGAGCTGTGGGGGTGGTGATTGTGGGTGCAGGCAGCGCACACTGTGCAGAGCCACCTGGCTGTGCCTCCGCCTAGGGGCCGAACATGCCAGCCACTTCCAGGAGCAGCGCGGAGTCAGGGCAGGCAGCGAGCTTGTCTTAGCACTACTGCCCCACCAACTGGGAGCTGCCTGACGTAAGCGCCGCCAGGCCAGAGCCCCCACCCTCAATCCCCTACCCCAGCTTGGAACCCCTCCCGCACCCTAACTCCCTCCCAGATCCCACACCCCTACCTGCACCCCACCCCCTTGCCCCAGGTCAGAACCTCCTCCCTCACCCAAACTCCCTCCTGGAGCCTGCAGCCCGCATCCCCTCCCACACTCCAATGCCTTGCCTTAGCCCTGAGCCTCCTCCCGCACGCCAAACCCTTTGGCCCAGGCCCAGAGTCCCATCCTGCATCCCAAATCCCTCATCCCCAGCCCCATCCCAGAGCCCGCACCCCCAGCCAGAGCCCTCACCCCCTCCTGCACCCCAACCTCCTTCCACAGTCCAGAGCTCCCTCCCGCACCCTGAACCTCTGATTTCTGGCACCACCCTGGAGCCCACATCCCCAGCTGGAGCCCTCACCCCATCAACCCCTTCCGCACCCCAAGCCCCTGCCCCAGCCCAGTGAAAGTGAGTGAGGGTTGGGGAAAGAGAGCAATGGAGGGAGGGGAGCTAGAGTGAGTGGGGGGTGGGGCTTTCGGGAAGGGGTGGGGCCCAGGTGTTCGGTTTTGTGCAATTAGAAAGTTGCCACCCCTAATAGATGCCCTGCTCCGTATATAGTCGCGAGAGCGTGGCTGACAACATTCTAGGAGGCTGGAGGAAAATGTAGTTCTCAGAAAACGTGGGAGGTTCCATGAGATCCTATAAAGGTCCAGAACATTCTAGGAGGCTAGTGAAAAATGAATCCACATATGGAATACCTGAAACACTTTACTTCAAACATTCTGGTTTCCCTTTTGTCGCTAAGAACAAAAACAGCACCTCAAGCCCGGCGTCCCCCAACCTAGCATCCCAGGTGGTTGCCTGGGTTACCTGCCCCTAAATCCAACCCTGCCGCCACCTCCCACTGAGGTTAAGAATGAGGAACCCGGGTCTTTTCTCACAGACATCAGTGTAAATCAGGAGAAATGCACTGAAATCAATGGCCGTCATATGGTGTAAGGGACAGGAGAAGGAGGCCCAGCATTTCACAGTATCTCCCCTCATGGATCGTATTAAAGGGCTTGAAGCTAGACAGCCAGATTCTCAGCTAGTGGAAATTTAAGACGCTATATTACATTTGGCCTTAATTTTCTTTCCACTCAGGGCAGAGAGAGCGAGCTCTGGGAGTGAGGATAAAATGTTTACTGGGGGATACAATGCTTCTGGATCTCTCTATAAAGAGCCAAGTGGGATGTGAGCTGGGGGTAATGGGCAGAATCCTCATCTGTTGTAAATCAGCAAAGGTCTGTTGTAGTCAGTGGTGCTACACTGATTTACACTAGCTGAGGATCTGGCCCTATATAACTAAAAGGGAAATAAAGGAAACTTATTAAATGAAAGTTTTATTTAACTTTTTAAAATTGTAATTTTATTTATCTGTTTCTTATGTGTGTTTAATAAAAGGTTCTCTCTCTCTCTTTCTCTGTATATATACATATATTTAATGGTGGTGGTTGCAACAGGAGAAGGTGCCAGTGATAACTTGATACAAGACCCCAAACCACACTTATGTGTTTAATGTTGTAACAGTACAAAAGGGTTTTATTATCACCTCAGTCCAAGAGGCCCAAGGTGCCTACCCTTATCAACACAACAGCCTAAAGTTCTATTCCCAGCGCTGGGAAGGGTTATAGGTTTTAACGGTTAGAGCACAAGAGACTGAGAGTCAGGAAACCTGGGTTCTATTCTTAGTTCTTCTGCTGATTTGTGGGGTTACTTTGAGCAAGCTCCTAACCCTCTGTGTGCCTTAGTTTCCCTGTCAGTGCAATGGGGACTGTAATATTGACCCATCTCCCGGTGGCACTGAGAATTATTTAATGTCTGTCTGTAAAGTGTTTTGAGCTTAGACAGGAGGTGCTAGGGAAGGGCAAACAATTATTCTATTATAGAGATCAGGGACAATCATGGAGTTCAGATCCAGATTGGAACATTCCCCGAAGTCGTGTTTGCTTCCAAGGCCTTTGTTGGGTTCTAAGCTGTCTAAGTTGTGCTTGTTCATTATTTAAAATAATGTTTAATATTAATAAAAATATTTTAATTTAGATTAAAAGTATGATGGGAAACATTTCTAGCTGCATTAAGGTTTTCAAGCTCCTTTTCTTTTTTGCTGGGCCTTAATTTTTGGCCTGAACAATGTTGATCCAGTCCCTTTTACTCTATCCACCTCTTGCCAGTATCTCTCTCCACCTCCAACATGTTATTGCTATTTTTCCTACCAGGCACATGTCAGACTGACACTCTGGGAAGAGAATTCATCACCTCCTACATGGACAACTGTGGGAACTCTAGTCAATTTGAAGTGCAAATTACTGGCTACTTTGCCTTCACTTCAGTGTCTGTTTCCATCTCCAATTACCAGTTTGATAAGAAGATTATGGTAAATTGGGGAGAGATGGTGCGGGTCAGCCTACCAGAGTCAGTTGGAATTAAGGGCACTACCAAGTTCTCCAATGTGGTCCTAGTCAAGGCTGACAAAGATATCTCAGTAGTGTCCGTCAGCAACAAACATGTGAGCCCTGAGACCACTGTGCTGTATCCTGTCTCCAGCTTGGGAAATGAACACTACATAGTGACTCCCCCTACAGAATCCTTAGATAGTTACCCAGAGTTCTCTGTTATGACATACGAAGACCGCAACCTTGTGACGGTCCATGTGAAAGGCAAGTTACGTTATGGAACACGGGTCTACTCCACTGGTGACACACTGAAAATTATACTCCTTGCTTTCCAAGGCTACCAGTTACAAGGCATAGCAAATGTGTCTGGCACCAGGATTGTCTCAGAAAAGCCAGTGGCTGTCTTGGTTGGCCAGGTGTGTTTCTGTACTAGCACAAAATGCAACCATGTCTTTGAGCAGCTCCTACCAGTTTGCAGCTGGGGTACAACATACATCATTCCTCCCTTACCCTGGCAGAAAGTAGATGAAATAGTCTACATCACTGCTTCCCAGAGCACAACTGTGTTGTATCAAC